GACTTTGATAAAGACCAGGAGGAAACAGAGCCTATTCCCTCTGGGAGTTTGGTACAGAGGAGACTTATTGTTTAAATCCTTACAGGAACTCCTTTCCTTTGGCAGTCAACTGTGTTTTTGTTAATACTTTATTTTGTTCTTCTTCAGCCCAGAGGTCAGGAAAGGTTCTAAAGAGAGGCAGATCTTACTTTAGACTATGGTATACAGATAAAGACCAGGAGGAAACAGAGCCTATTCCCTCTGGGAGTTTGGTACAGAGGAGACTTATTGTTTAAATCCTTACAGGAACTCCTTTCCTTTGGCAGTCAACTGTGTTTTTGTTAATACTTTATTTTGTTCTTCTTCAGCCCAGAGGTCAGGAAAGGTTCTAAAGAGAGGCAGATCTTACTTTAGACTATGGTATACATCAGACCTGGGTTTTTTTGTAACTGTTTTGGGATATTTTTTAATGAGATATTTATTAATAGTGACAGTCCAAACAGAGGACATTTTATAGCAAGGAATAAAAATACAGAGCAAACTGTGATTTGATAGAGACAGCAACCCAATAAATGGTAATATATTAAGACAGGAAACCCCTAGAATCCCATCCCCAGGGTCAGAGATGACTCAGAATCAACAGTGAGCACCAGGTGGCCTGGCATACAGGTAATTGCTGCTGGTCTTTTGCAATCTCCTAAGAGAAGGGAATGCATTCTGCACCTAGAATACCCCTTCCTTACCCCAAGGTTATGTCCCAGCATGAGAAAATCTAATTAAGAAATGTGGTCTGAGCAAATCATACTCTGCATTTGATATGAAATGGCAGGTCACTTAACAGCCACATTCCATACCCAGGAGGGGCCTGTGAGAATCTTAAATTGACTAACTCCCATTCTGTTCTCAGTGCAGCACTACTCAGATGATTCTTAGCCAATCACTACTGAAAGGGCTGGTCACAGATGGACTCAAAAGAGAGACTTCTGGTTTTCTCTAAACGTTTTTGAAGATTTCAAAACCAGCTCTAAGCATTGTATCCAGAGTCTGACTCATAGTACCAAGAGGTACAGTCTTGTTCTACTGTGTAGTGATTTCTAATAGAAATTCACTGCACCTTGTGAGGAGAATATATCCTTAGAAATGCAATGTTCTAACAGGCTTTCTAATGAGCAAGAGTCAAAGACACCCCCATCTACTTTGCAGAGATTTATTTGGGAAACAGTATGTTCTCCTTTCCCACCATACTTTTAAAGAGAGACCCTAGTGGAGCTCTGTGATACTCATCGGTGAAAACTGGTAAAGGGTTCACAGCACCATGCCAGCAACTCCTAAAAGGCCTGACAAACTCACTATATCTAGCACTGTAAACATTTATCCTGCAAGTGTCTCACAAGGTATGTGATATACATGAAAGCTGGTGACATGCACTGGTCATTAATATCATAGTGAAACGCATACATTAACACTACATGAGGAATTACGTATTTTCTATTGAGACAGAGCTTTCAAATCCGTGTCCAAAGGGGAGACATATTTCGTCCAGACTAGAGTAAAAGCAGTTATCACTTTGCAATATTTAAATTAAGCACTAACATGCTGGGAGCTACATTTATAGCTGAAGTAACAAGAAAAACAAGTTAACATGGTAATGAGAGGGCGACGTGATGCCAGCACTCTGGAAAACAATGAACTGGAACACATTACAAAGGTTTACTGAACTATAATAGAAGATGCAAGGACAACATCCTGTTATTTAATCCACTGAAGAACACTCTTGGAGGAGGAGGTTTTCATCATTTCAATGTTGGTTTGCCTGAAAACCAGCGATTTCTGCAGAAAGGCAGCAGGTGAGAAAAGAACTTTGTAGTCTGTTAAGATTTAACATGAGAGGAAGAGGGTCTCTCTCCACTGCGCACCTGCTTGGTCACCTGCCCTGGGCTCCACTCTGGCTTTTCCTGTGGGGAAGGGAGGAGCAGCTCACGTGCACTTCTCCAGAAGTCAGATGTGGTGCAGAGCCTCAGAGCTTCCCTCCCACCCACAGGAAGCTGGCACTGGCTCCAATCTTGCAGGGGGCGTGATACTGGATTGCCAACATGGGCTGGGGTCAGGGTGGCTTGTGGAGGTTCAGGGAAATGAGCGAGACGGGGGCAGGGGGATGTCCAGCCCTGCTAGGGGCAGGGTCACAGTCCACGGTGCTCTTGCCTTCTTGCCAGGGACCAGGAATTCTGGGTCTGATGTGGCTTTGGGACAAGGAGATCCCCCAAATGTTTTCCTCTCCCCATGTCCCCTCAGCTGCCCCCACCACTGACCGGCCCTGGAGCTGCAGCCCGGGCAGCACTCACTGACTAGCACTGTGGTTCTCAGACTTTTTGGTGCTTGGACCACCTGGCTCAATGCAAACCTTTCCACGCACCAATTGCTAATGGAAACTCACTGTTAATGACATAATTATGCCTGAAATTATGAAACAGATTAAGTGTTTCAAATTTCTTATGTTAGTTCATCAAATTTCATTTCAAATAAAGTAAAATATTCATTTACATCCAACACACAAGGTTTCAATATTTTATTTGTTTATGGAAGGGGTGGGAACTATCAGTTGGGGACTATGCAAGTGAGAAGCAAAAAAACTACTTCAAAATCCCTCAACCCTTTGAGTCTGACTCAATCATACCCCAGTCCCCAATTCTCCCATTACTTCCTCATCCTGGCTCCCACTCCCCCCACCCCTCCCAAGCTCTGTGTGGTGTCCCTGTGCTGACCAATGGAAGTGGGCGGAGAGCTGGGGTGGCTCTCGGGGGCACCAGAGTCAGACTTCCCCACCCCATTGCTGCCTTTTCCCCCAGCCCCCCCCCCCATTGCCTCATCACTTCCCCAGCTCTTGATGCCCCAAATCCCCCCTGCCCATCTTGTGCAGTGGAAGCTGCTTGGATGGTCCTGGCCACACCCCGGGGGCAGGGCAGCCTGTTCCACACCCCCACCTGCAGGTCCCTGCATGCCGGTGGGGCTGGGGCAGGCAGCTCAGCAGTGGCGCACGTGCAAAGGCGGGCCCTCAATCCCACGGCTCTGCACAGGGTTCCTGTGCTACCCAGTGGAAGCAGAGGGGGAGCCAGGGTGGCTCTCAGGGGCACCAGTGGTGGACTTCCCCCACCCCATTGCTTCTCCCCTAGCTCCCTAGCATGCAGGTGAGGCCGGGACAGATGGAGCTGCAGCAGGGTACATATAGGGGTGGGGCCTCAATCCCACTTCAGGGGGGAGGGGCTGTCCTGGGTCAGAGCAGGGTCTCTGTGCTGGGCGGAGGAGGGAGATGGGGAACACTTGGGGACACTGGGGGGGATGTGAGTCAGGGCTTTCTTCACCCCCACCCCCATGTGACCAGAAGCCGGAGCTAGTGCTTCAAGCCTGGAGCTCTGGTGGAGGGGCTTAGTTCCCACTGTGGACTCTGAGTACCACTGAAAATCGGTTTGCATGCCACTTATAGCACACGTGCCATAGGTTGCCAACCCCGGTACTAGACTTTAATGCTCTGTCCACTTTGCACTTTCACTGGTAAAACTTTTGTTGCTCAAGGATGTGAAAAAACCCACATTTCTGACCGGCAAAAGCTTTACCAATGAATAGTGCTGGTGTAGACAGCGCTTGATTGGTAGGAGATGCTCTCCTACTGACAAACCTACCACCCCTCATTATTGGTGGTTTTATCTGGTCTGCAGGGGAGCCCTTTCCTGCCGACAAAGAGGCACTACACTGCGTTCCTTACAGCGGCACTGCTGCGGCACATAAGACATAGCTTTAATACCAGGGACTTAACGGAACACTGGATTCATGGTTTATTACAACATCTGTAGCCCACTAATCCCCTCTTTTTGTCTGATGACTACAGAGGTGTTAATAGCCCACTCTGCTTTGAATGGTCCCTTACAATATGTGCTAAATATTTATGTTAAACAGTCCTTTCTACCTTGCATGTTGCTGCAACTCTGGGAGTTCCTTTCCCAGACCTGAAGGATAGCTCTGTGGCTAGAAACCTTGTCTCTCTCACCAACAGAAGTCGGCCCAATGAAAAACATTACCTCACCCAGCTTACATCCTAGACAGTTGTAAAATACTAGCCCTATCACATATAATTTGATTAAACTTCTGAGGTAGCCATTAGCCTTACAGCAGATATCGAATTGCATATATACACCTTTATTTGTGACAAAATAGGATCGAAGTTTCCTCAAAGCTAAATGGGTGTAAACGTAGTTTATCTCCCCTGTGCCAAAGCCTCAGCTGGAGTAAATCACTGTAGCTCCATTAAAATAATAGCACTATGCCAACTGAGGATCTGGTTCATTAGCTTTTGTAGCTGCTCCAGAATTATATGGTGTAATTGAGAGCAGAACTTGGCTCTTTTTGTTGTTACTTAGCAACTAAACCATCCACCGCTTGGCTGATTCTTGCCTTTATGATCAGAAGTCATATTCCTGACAGAGAAGAGGCAGTGTGTTGGTTGACAATAGACATCCCTCTCAACCCCCCAAGAACAGGAGGAGGATATGCTTTTGAGTAACACAAGAAGCTGTATTCTCAAGGAACTATTACACCAATCTGCTAATATTGCCACATCCCTGATCAGATGCAGACCCAGTTATGCTTGCAGAGGCAGGGGAGGGAGGCTGATGGAGAGAATGTAGCTGGCTGCATCAAGTCAAATTTCATGATAATGGGTGGGGAGTTTAGATATTATAAACAACAATTCAGGGGGAAATTAAATATGAAAGCTTACAGACTTGTGTAAGTAATTGTATGGCACATAAAGACTCCCAAAACATGTTAATGAGCTTCGCATCCTGTCCTGAGCTAATGAAATGGGAAACAATGAATCAGTCTCAGATTCTCTTGTTATTTGAAACTCCTGGAAAGATCATACTCTTGGCGGTCTCTGAGGAAACAAAACAGAAGTATATGTTCAGGCCAGGACTTAATTTTCCAAAAAGAC